TTGTGCAGTCAGCCTCTTGAAAGCACTCTACACTCTACTTCTCAGGATGGGAGGGAGCTCCACCTGGGGTTTGCCCAGCCTGCACTGGAAGGTGGGGCAAATGAGCTGGGATGGCAAACCCCAGACAGAGCTCCCTTCCTCCCTTTCCCTTCCCCTCCTATCCTCAAGATATAACACAAGAGCTTGGAGGCAGGGGGTGGGATTAGGGGAGAAAAGCTGTAGACATACAGACTGCCTCTCCTGGACTGGCTCCAGAGTTGGGCTTGATTGTCCCCCCCCCCCCTGCAAATCAAACAGTGAATGTCTGTTGGGTCAGGGGATTTGTTGTAACTCAAGACACTTTCTGTGAAGTTCCATGAGTTACAATGGGGAGCTGCACATTTGTCAGAGCCCTGTGAGCCTACTTGAAGTCAATGATACCAGGAACAATGGTCACAAGCTGGCGGAGGGAAGGTTTAAGTTGGACATCAGGAGGCGCTACTTCACAGTCAGGGCGGCTAGAGTCTGGAACCAGCTTCCAAGTGAGGTGGTGCAGGCTCCTACCCTGGGGGTTTTTAAGAGGAGGTTGGATGACCACCTTACTGGGGTCATTTGACCCCAGTGCTCTTCCTGCCATGGTAGGGGGTCGGACTAGACGATCTGCTCAGGTCCCTTCCGACCCTAGAAACTATGAAACTATGACTCAGAAAAAGTTATTAGTCTCTTCCCAGGTGTTTGCAGTGAGGGCTTCCTGTGTGGAGGATCCCTGTGTAGGTTTCACATAAGGAATGACTCCAGTTTACCCGGCCTGCAGAGCGAATATAATAATTCAGTTACTGGTTAAATGAAGCAGAATTTCCCTCCCTGGTTCCCCAATATTTTTGATCTAGAGATCAATTAATTTTGATCTTTAATTAAAGGACTGCCTTTTGTAACTAGATACAAAGTTTGTTAAGAATCTGAAAAATATTTCTCAACCAAAATTTAAGTAATAGGAAGCCATTAAGGCCTAAAAGCATAGCATGACGGGCTCTTGGGTTTCTTAATAATTACTAAAAACTGTGGCTCTTGCTAAAGGCCACTTGTTCTCCTTCAAATTTTAGTCACTATTGAACCTGAAAACCAAACTGAAGCTAGTAATTTTGCAGTGCAAATCAAAGTTTCTCCAGCTGTAGGAGCCAGAAGGTCTTAGGGTTGTTTTTTCTTTTTTTCCATCTAAACAGTGCTCTGTGAATTAAGATGTGTCTGCATCTCAGAGTATAAATACTGTAACATAAAACACAATCCTCACTCCTCCCCTGATGGATCTTGATCCTACAAATTGTTTTGTATTCTTAGTTTTTTTTAATTTTTTGAGAAGTAGCATATGTGAAAGAAGAGGTGACTAGGCACATCTACGCAAGACTTTTAACGTGAAGAAGACTCATTCTCCTGCACACTAGTATGGCAGGCAAAACCTGTGCTAATGCATAATTGCCCAGTAGGTTTAGTCTAATGCGCATTAATGTCACTAAAAACATTCATCTGCACAAATGTGCAATAGCACCAATTTACAGTGCATTAAGTTTGCACCTGTTATTACAGGTGCAGACTTAATGCTCTGTAATTATGGTGCATTAATGAATGTGTAGATGTGCTCATTGTCTACACCTGCTGTAGTTATCCCTGAATTGGTGCTGATCTGGGGTTTGTTTTTAGCTGAATAGTTATTTTTGTACCTTGAGCATTAGGATTAATGTACTCAAACCTTTTTTGCTTTCTTGATGCAACAATCTTCTAATGTGCAAGTCCCTGAGTGGAAGAGGAGACATGGTCATGAGAGGAGGACACGATAGGACCTTGATGCCAGCCTGACTGAAAGGTGTTTAGTTTAAGAGCATTACAGTAGAATTCACTTGTTGCTTCTTTTGATAACATTTCTGATGAAAACAAATCTATTTGAAGTAAGAAAAGGTCTTGGCCACAGAATTTGTATCTTGGCCCAGTCCTTCTGCAGTGTTTTGATATGCTTGGCTCTGGGTTTTTAGCATGGAACATAAAGATCAAGGTGACCAGCTGTTTTGAGTTCAGATCTGAAACATGCCTCCAAAATTTGAGGAAGAACAGATTATTGTATTTGTCAACTTTAATATGACAGAGGTCTGAGTAGCTAAGCTGAAGTATCTGTGGCTATGCTACCTGGTTGGAGCTCAGAGGTAGCTAGAGCGTGAATGACTGGGCTCATAGTGTGAAGAGGAAATCAGAACTTAAGCCTTTTTTCAGGCTCAATTTTAGAGTGCAGGAAAAGCCTTATGTTAGAAGATTGATAGGTGAAGAAGGATTGTTGATAGACGGTAACTGAGACAGTAGTTTGCCTTTCTCATGCTGAGTACCAAACTGAGAATGCACATTCCCATGTTTCTAGTTTGTTAAATACATTTCCTTGTGTAGAGACAGCAAGGGGGTTATCCGTGTTGTGTGTGTTTCCCCTGCTAATTATAATCAGAGAATTTCCTTACTTTTTGCTTCAAGTTAAATGAGCATCAGCTATTCAAAATCTAGTCAGGCCTTTGAAATGAGGTTGAAATATCCGGTTCTGACATTGTCACTTTTTACGATTTTCTAAACCTGAGGATTTCTTCCACATCCCTGTTGCTGTGTGAAAGTTCCACACAAACCAGAGAAGAAAATGTGTGACTATGCAGAAGGAATAGTGGAACTGAAGCTGCAGACAAATGTCACATTTAAAGGGCTTCAAAGTGCAGCTGCACAAAAAAATTGAGTACGCCAGATGTGGAAAGACGTACATCCTCCATGTCACGCCACCCTTGCTGGAATGCTTCAGAATTGTTGGGGGTCCAGGCTGGGGGTTCATCCATGGGGTAGGAGCAGAACTGATGTTGGCAAACTCTGCTGTCTGCTCTGCCTTCATTGTCTTGCAACACCTCCGTGGTAGAATCAGGAAACCAGCTGCAAAGTGCAATGTGGGGATGGGGCTGGGGAGCAGGAAGCCCCGCTCTGACAGGGGGTGCAGAGGCCTAACAGAATGGCAGGGCACTCAGGGCAGTGGTGACTTCTGGCAGTTGGTGCTGCTGGTGTAGATGTATGGCTACAATGACCGCTGTTATTTTTTTCTGCCCCAGCCACCCCACCTTCATTCTTCTGCTGGAGGTATTGTGAAGCATGTGGTCTCCTGGCTCCACAGGGACCACTCCGGGAGAGTGGAGGCAGAGTGCGCAGAAGAGTGATCACTAACAGTCTACTCCTGCTTTCTCCATCCTCTGTCATGAGTGGTGTGGGTGGAGCAGAGCACTGTGGGATGCTGGTGGACCTAGGGTTCTCCTGTTGCATTCCATAGAGCAGGGGTAGCGAACCAACCTGCGGCACATGTCACAACTGGCACTTGCAGTCTCTGTGTGTTGCATGTGTCAGATTGGAGAGGGAGTTGGGAACACTGTGTCAACCAGGGAGCACAAGGCACAGAGCAGACAGCATAACAGCAGATTGGATTGAGGGAAGCAGATCAGTGGTACTCAGAGTGCTGGTCTTACTCTGTGGCACCTGCCAAAAAAGATTGGACCCCACTTCCATAGCGTGTCCATGTATAACAAGAAGCACTTTGTTTTGAAGTGCTTCTAAATTGTACCTAATCCCAGTGGGGTCACTTATGGAGTGCCTCAGTTGTTTATGGAGCATTTCAAATATCATGTGCATCTGTCTGGCTCACTGTTTGAAGCACTTCAGAGGCATTTGAAATGTTTCAAATATGGCTTCTGTCTACACCCTGAATAGATACAAAATGCTGTCCAATCTTCAGTGTGAACAGACTTATCTCTCCTATTTTTTCTTTTTATCCATTGAAGAAATACTTGCAGTTAAAGAAGGTAAGCTACAGGTCTTTTCTTCTTTTTAATCAATATTGGCCTTTCCTTTTATTCTTCTGCTGAGAATGCAAGTTAGGGGGAGTGTAACAGCAGGAATGGTTAAATTGACCACGTGTTTAGTTTTGAATTTCTTTGAGGACCTGGTAAATTTAAACCCCAAATAATTTTATGTTAATAGAGTTTGCATGAGGAGCAGCAAGTTATTTTAGAAGCAAAACAATGACATGAGAATTATTGAGCATTTTGGGTTTTGATGAGAGCATATGGTTCTGGTAAGCTGAGATGGGGCATGGTGTGCTGTATTTGAGTTGGTGCCCTATGTATCCAAATTTATTCTAAGCTTTGTGGGAGAGGAGGGGAAGAGATGCTCTTTGCAGTGGCTTTACAAATGGACTGGCTTATTTTCACTGGGTTGTTTCTTTTCCCCTACAGAAGTGACTTTTTTTTCAGTCCTACTGGAACATTCTCAGCACTTTCAATATATTTCTTGACGATAACTGGGGACGCTGCTCCTGCAGCCAGGAAGGATAAAGAACAAACCAAGTGTGGTTAAAAACTGATACAGTTGATTTTAAATATTTTATGAAATACAGAGAAAGATAAATGTACAAGAAAAAGCCATGTGTATCAATGTGCTTCTGTTAGTCTAAGCTTTTCCAAAGATTTCTTTATCACCAGTTATGATGCCTAGTTGCCATAGAAATGTTTCAGCAAGACTATTAACAAATGGGTAATTTACTGTCACAACAGGAGTCTCTTGGCTTATTGACACCTCATGATACACTAGAAATTTAAAATCAGTCTGTAAATATGGCATAAAAATAAGTCTACAAGATTCTGTGTGTCCAGAAACCATGACTGAGGAATATGTACGCAAAATATGGGACTGAATCCTTACCTGTCATTTAAGAATGTTGTCTTGCAATTTCAGGGTCAGTGATTTTTTTTTTTTTTTCCCCCTCCTTCCCTCCTCCCCACACTTGTGCTTTATTCAATTTGTGTTGTGTGTGTGTGTGTGTGTGTGTGTGTGTGTGTGTGTGTGTGATACTAACTAGACCATTTTGAAAATGTATCCTGTTAAATGTATTTGAGAAATATAAGGTAGTAAAGTATAAAAAATGTGTAGATAGCATCACACTCTTTCTTTCTTTTTTTCAGGTTTAACCATGAGTTACCCAGGCTACCCTCCTCCACCAGGTGGATATCCACCAACAGCTCCAGGTAAATGGTCATTAGCGTGGATTGTTTAGATGAAGTAGAAAAAAGAAGGGATTTGAACGACTCCTCAAACTGGGATATAGGACGGAAGAGATTACTTGCATTGTTGAGTTTGTGTTTTCTGCTGTCACAGGCTATCCTGTCATAAAATGATCGGTCTTCACATGTCAAATCTTGTGTATATGTGTGTTAAAGATCTATGTAGCTTATGTAAGTTTTTCTAAATCAGTACCTGTTAAAGCTGGAGTGGTAAATTGGGGTATAAGAAATCAAACCTCCCTCATATTTTAAGTCTCTTCTGGTTTGGCCAAAATGTCCGTGAAAGGAGAAAGGAAAGAGGAGACGCATTCTCGCCAGAGAGCCTAAAGTCCTGACAGCTGCTTCCCGTGCCTTCCTGGGTACCAGGCATCCCTATTCAGCTGGCTGCCAGCTTCCAGCTTCCCCCAGGAACCCATTACAGGAGTTAGGCATACTCGGTATGAAAATATGCATCACATCAAAAACTGAAAATGTTAGTGTCAACATTTTTAAAAGGCCTGGATTTCCTATTGAGAGCTGAGAAAATTAGATGGGGAAGAGTAATCTGGGTGCCCAGTTTTGTTGTTATGAAGGAACCTCTTTTACAGAGGATGGGCACTTCGTATGTTTTGCAAACCCAGACCATTTTAAGGCATTTCACACTGAGGACTCCAAGGCCAGGGTGCCCAGCATCACATAGAATTTGTGAAAAATCTTGATCAGAATCAACAGCTAGCAGGAATAACGTCCCTTTCTCAATCCAGCACCATCAGTACAGGAAGTATAAAATGGGTAAGAGGGTCTGGTTGAATGTTTTGGGGGTACTACATTATTTGAGGCCAGTAGATTGCATAGAATACAGAGCTTTGATTAGAAAAAGTAGTCAATACTTACCATGAAATGTGGCAAAGCAGTGGACACAGCTTATCAAAGGGAGACAGCTTCCAACAGTGTTGCTGCAATGGTAGTAAAGGGTGTTGAAGTATCTTTGCAACAGGGGATGAACTTGTATATTATTTGATAATGAAGGGATGAAAACAGATCATTAAATTGCCAGAATTTCAAAGTGTATCAGAGTGTCCTTCTAATAAAACAACCAATTAAGTGAATATAGAACATTAAGCTTTTTCTGGTAAATCTATGTTGTTGAATTTTATTATTCTCAGATTTGAAGCTTCTTGAACTATACTTAAGTTTGTTTTTAATCATGGTCTTAGTGATCTAAGGATCTTTAACCCATTACCATATTACACACATCTGGTGAAGCACATTGGTGATATGAAAAGTAGCTACTATCTTGCAAGTTCTCTTGTTAATTTATTTTTCCTCTTGTTTGGACTACCATTGTTATCAGAGGTTATCGGTAGAAATGTAAGTATCAATTAACAGACTAAAATGTTTATATTTTTGGTATGTGAACTCTGTGTGATGATTTCAGGTAGTAATCCCTGGGGTGGCTCTGCCTATCCTCCTTCAAATCCACCGCCAATCGGACTGGAAAATGTTGCCAGTTATTCCAGCCAGTTTAATCCAGACTACATTGCAGGGATGGTGAGTACAATGCTACTTGTTATACTTCAGATATGATCTACTTAAGTGTGAACCTGTGTTTCCAACATAGGAGCAAGAACAGTTGGGTGAATTTTCAGTATTTGTGTTTAATACAGGAAATACAAGAGTAGACCATTGGCTGAAAAGTTACAGGTTGCAATGTTGCAAACTAAACTATGTTGGGATGTAGTTTAGTTTGCAACAGTGCAAACTCATTTAACTCCCCCCAACAAAAAAATAAACCAACCCATATATATGTCATGTGTTATGCTATTAAGCCACAAAAAAGGGAAATTTTTGTCGTGTGTTCTTGTTCTTGGACTGCAAGAACAGGAAGGAGAAGTCTGAATAGTGCATGTGTAGGTGGTTAACTTGTTTGCATTGGCAAACTCTATTCCAGTTTTGTTTTTACCCAACTCTTTAACCAGTCTGAATGAGGAAGGCAGTAAATCAGTGACTTAGCTGAGGTTATAACACGAGAGAGTGGCTCATTCCCTGATGAGAATCAAGGGTCATCCTCTAGCACACCCATTCTTGCAACCAATGAAGTCTCTCCACTTACGTAGTGTACGTGAAGAATACTTCCTGGAGGTTTAAAGTAGAGAAACCTAGAATGTGATTTTTTTCCTCCTGAGTTTGCTCAGAATAGGAACTGCTGAAGAGTTTAATTTTTTTATAACAGTCTTGTTACACTGTGTGTACAATGCAGCAGTTTTTTCCCCCCAGGCATTTGTATGACAAATGCATTTATTATGTGTGGACACTTGATAGCTAGCAGTTTAAAATAAGTATGCAGTAGTATTAGCAGCATGAAAATGACTTGGGGGGGGTGGGGGGAAGCAATTCTAGCTTTGGTTATGCTAGTGGAAAAAAAACAACTTCATGTAAGCATTGTACAATCACTGCAAAGTCCTTCATCACAGAGGACAGCTAAAGTTCACTAATTCTGGAAATATGAGATTGCATACTGAAAGTAAGCACCTTTCCTGTAATTTCTGCAGACTTCTATCCATGTGACCAAGTGTGCCAGAGACTGAACTGTAGGAAGATTCTACCACTTAATACCAAAGGCAAAAGCACATTACTTCTTCTATCTTATAGTTAATCTGCATTAAACTTAATGATTATGCAGTAGACACCCATGATCTGAGAGGGAATTGTCCTGTAGTTTTACTTTAGGAACTTTTATTTTTAATTGGCTAACACTTGAATAGTAAGGACTGCAGGGCTACTGGTGCTGGCTGTTCTAGACACTGGAATATAATGCTGGAGACACTAGCTTTAATGCTGGAGACCTGACTATGGTGCTGCAAGGTAAAAACATGCAGATAGGCAGTGAGTGAAGAATAGCTGACATACTGTAAGTTCATACCTTCACTAATTTTGTGTTTGTCTGTCCATAAGTTCTGCTTCCTGCAGTAGAGGAGCTTGCAATAAGAGTGCATTACGAGTATGTGCAATAGTTCTTTCTTTCTTTTTTTTTTTTTGTTTTTTTTTTTACATGGTTACTGGTCAGTGTTTCTTTTGAGAGAACAATTCAAGAAAAGCTTGGGTCTGTCCTGGCTCTGACTTAGGGGCTTGTAGGTAGAAGCTTAGATCAAAAGGTTGTGAGTTCAAAGCTGGGGGTGCCTTCCTATTACCCCAAGGCTATATGAAGGAGCAGGGGTGTAGTACTCTATGTCAAGGAGCAATACACCTTGTGAATGAGCGAGGTGGGGTCGGAAGAGGGGCTGACTGAAGTGCTCTGGGTAAGAATACAAGGGGGTTGTGGGAAAAGGGTCTTAATGGTGGGTGTCTATTACAGAGCGCCAAACCAGGGGAAAGAGCTGGACTGGGATTTTTTAAGACAGCTTGTGAAGGCTGTCAAGTCAAGAGAAGTGGTGTAGTTATGGGTGACCTGAACTACCCAGACATCTGCTGGGAAGAGCAGTTAGCTAGGTCTGACCACTCACGTAGATTGCTAGCTGAGATACAGGACCTCCACCTAACTCAGGAGGTGCACAGTCCCACCAGGAGAAATGCCCTGCTGGACCTGGTCTTTGCCACAGGCGATGACCTGGTGAGGGAATTGCAGGTTCTCGGCCACCTGGGTGATAGCGATCATTGCCTGCTGGAATTCACTGTCCAGCACAGGTTGTCAACGGCTAGCAGTTAAGTGGAAGTCCTTGACTTCAGGAGGCCTGACTTCAGTGAGTTAAGAAGACTAGTACAAGAGGCATTAGGATCCCGAAGCTTTGGGGAGATGGGAGTCCAAGACGGGTGGTCGTTCCTCAAGGAGACAATCCTCCGAGCCCAAAGGGAGTCAGTCCCAATGCTTGCCAACCGGGGTAAGAGTTCTAAAAAGTCCCTGTGGCTCAGCAAGGGCATTCAGGAATGCCTGAGGGCTAAAAAGGGGGCATACATCCAATGGAAGCAAGGGGCTGTTATCAAAGAGGATCACACCTCTGTCGCTTGAGGCTGTAAGGCAGCTGTTAGGAAGGCCAAGGCTGAGATGGAACTGGGGCTGGCAACCAGGATTAAGGATAACAAAAGGTCCTTTTTCAAATACATAGGGAGCAAGAAGGCGGCACTGGGTAATGTAGGGCCCCTGCAGGATGCGCTTGGCAATCTAGTGATTGCTGCAAACGAAAAAGCAGACCTCTTTAACAAATTCTTTGTCTCCTTTTTCTGATCGGGGACTAGGACATCTCCCCCACTGGGAGTACAGAAGGACTCGGGGGAGGCACTGCCAGGCCCAAGGTTAGGGATGACGTAGTTAGGGAATTCCTGGAGGGGCTGGTTGTGTTCAAATCAGCAGTCCTGGATGCCCTTCATCCAAGGGTGCTGAGGGAATTGGTGGTGGTCATTGCAGGGCACCTGGCATGGCTATACAAGCACTCATGGAGCTCTGGTAAGGTGCCAGGTAACTGGAAAAAGGCCAATGTGGTCCACATTTACAAGAAAGGAGGACCAGGGTAACTATAGGCCTGTCAGTCTTACCTCGGTTCTGGGGAAGATCTTTGAGAAAATTATCAAGGAGCACATCTGCAAGAGACCAGCAGGCAAGATCATGCTCAGGGGGAACCACCATAGGTTTATTAAGGGAAGATCCTCTCAGACTAACCTTATTTCCTTTTATGATCAGGTCACAAAGGTCTTGGACAAAGGCATGGGGGTGGATGTCATCTTCCTGGATGCTAAGAAGGCGTTTGACCCTGTCTCTCACCCCATTCTCATAAAAAAAACTAGGTGACTGCGGCTTTGATGCCTACACAGTCAGATGGGTGGCTAAGTGGCTGGACGGTCACACACACAGAGTGGTGGTAGACGGGTCATTTTTGACCTGGAGGAATGTGGGCAGTGGGGTTCCCCAGGGCTCAGTCCTCGGCCCCGTACTGTTCAACATCTTTATCAATGACTTGGACAACATGCTTTCCACCCCTTCATCCAAGTTCACTGATGACACCAAGATGTGGGGTGAGATGGGCACACCAGAAGGGAGGGACAGAATCCATCTAGACCTAGACAGGTTACAGGGGTGGGCAGATGAGAATAGGATGGAATTTGACATGAACAAGTGCAGGGTAGTGCATCTAGGCAGAAGGAACCAGCAGCCTATAGGCTGGGGAACACTCTTCTCATCAGCACACAGGTGGAAAGGGATCTTGGAGTCATTGTCAACTCCAGGTTGAACATGAGCTGCCAATGCGAGGAAACTGTCAGTAAGGCTAACCGCACCTTGTCATGCATCCACAGATGCATCACAAGCAGGTCCAGGGAGGTGATCCTCCGCCTTTATGCAGCATTGGTCAGGCCGCAGTTGGAGTACTGCGTCCAGTTTTGGGCGCTGCACTTCAAGAGAGATGCGGCTAGCACTGAGTGGGTCCAGAGGAGGGCCACTCGCATGACTGGGGGCAGCAGGGCAGGCCATACGGGGAGAGACTAGAGGGCCTGAACCTATTTTGTCTCCACAAGAGAAGGCTGAGGGGGGATCTGGTGGCCATCTACAAATTCACCTGGGGGGGGATCAGCAGGGAATAGGAGATGCCCTGTTCCCCCAGGCACCACACAGAGTAACTAGAAATAATGGCCACAAATTGATAGAGAGCAGGTTCAAGCTTGACATCAAGAGGCATTACTTTACGGTTAGGGAGGCTAGGACCTGGAACCAACTTCCAAGGGAAGTGGGGCTCGCTCCTACCTTGGGGGTCTTTAAGAGGAGGCTGGATGGACACCTGATTGGGATCATGTGACCCCAGCGTCCGTTCCTCCCCAAGGCAGGGGGTCGGACTTGCTGATATGCTTAGGTCCCTTCCAACCCTACTTACTATGATACTTTCACAGACACAAAACATGCTTTTCTTTGTGCTGCATTAGTCCCTATAAATGATCTGAAACATACTAGTGAAAATCAACATCTAATGCATCTTAATCTGCTTTAACATTGCAGGCATCCAATATGTCAGGAATCTTTGGAGGTGCTAATGTTCCACCCAGCGTATATCCTCCTGCAGCAGGTGGCTATCCTCCTGTTCCCCAGGGGGGCTTTGGACAGCCTCCACCAGGACAGCAAGCTTCTTATGGAATGTACCCACCACCAGGAGGAAACCCACCATCAGCAATGCCAGCTTATCCGGGATACCCTGGCCAGCCTTTGCCAGCTCCAGGGCAGCCACCAGTGACCTATCCAGGGCAGCCACCAGTGACCTATCCAGGGCAGCCACCAGTGACCTATCCAGGGCAGCAGCCAATGCCAAGTTACCCATCGGGCCCACCTGTGAATCCCTCTGTGCCTTCTTATTCAGGATCTGCCATGCCTACAGTCATGCCTGGAACAGTAAGGACTTCAGTGTTTTACTCTCACTCCATTGCATGTTTTCTCTGCATAAACCAGAAGCTATCAAGACTAGAACTGGATATATGAGCCAAGGAAAATGATAGGCTCATTTCAGGTGGAAACACTACAAGTATAGACTGACTGAAAATAAACCTCATTTCACCCAACTATCCAAAATAAAATTCCAGGGCCAAGTTTTAAATCTTGATTACATCGACCTTTTTCTAGCATCGAGGCAGATGCAGTGTCTTGTCCCCCCCTGAATTTTCTTATTGTTGGGATAAGAGTGAATCAGCTAGCAGTGGCGTACTGACAGGGGAGTGGGAGGGTGCCATGGCACCTGCCGGGGTGGGGGTGTGCCAGCCGGGCCGAGAGGCTGCGGTGCCTCCTGCATTTGGTGTATACACTTGGTGGGTTGTACGCTTCTTTACCTGTTATGGACGGAAATTCCTGCCACTGCCCCTCCCCCAGTGTCTGGTGTGCCATGATGTTAATTTCCCCTCAAAAGTGCCGTGGGGCAAGAGAGGGGGCTCTGCACCCTGCTTGAATTGTCCCCAGGGGGTGGGGGGTGGGGCAAATGCAGGCATTGGTCCCTGGGAGCCAGAGACCCATGGTACACCACTGTCAGCTAGTTAAGTTTAATTCCAATTTTATATGGTCATTTCCAGACAAGGGAAATAGCAAGAGACAGGCTAGTAATGATAGTTACTTTTCCTGAGTTGTAAAATACAGTTTTCTAGTTAGTCAGTGTCTAACATGCTGATATACTTATTTAGCATAGACCGCGAGGCACAATCACTGATGCACCAGGATTTGACCCCCTGAGGGATGCAGAAGTCTTGAGGAAAGCAATGAAAGGATTTGGTGAGTTGTCTGTGGGTTTATAGTTTATGGTGAAGGTAGAATAGCAGTATTGTTTGCCATTTCTCATTGTTATATGTGCAAAGAATGGAACTCCAAGACAATCCTCCGTTCTTGAAACAGAACTTTTATCTGTGTTAGTCAATTAGGATAAAACATAGGTGTAACCAACATTATGAGTCTGTTTATATTTCTTTCCATGGTACTGGCAGTTGAGATTGGGATTAGCTCACTTCAATTATCATAGGTTGATTTAGTAGCGTATATCCCTACATGATATATCCAAGGGTACAATTCAGCTCCATTTGAAGTCAAAGGGAATTTATCGTTTGACACTGGTAGGAACAAAATCATAACCTAGTAGAATGTGATGGTTCTAAAAATGTCATATACTGTTCACTGCATGTCGTATATGTGTGCTTACAGGAACTGATGAGCAGGCAATAATAGATTGTCTTGGAAGCCGTTCAAGCAAGCAAAGGCAGCAGATCATCCTGTCCTTCAAAACGGCTTATGGAAAGGCAAGTATTTCACCATAGCAGGGTGCAGATTAAAAAGAGGCTTGCTTCCATCTACTTCATTTTCTTTATCAGTGAGACAAATGGTGCCAGTGCCTGAAAAAAAGCAGTGAGAATTAAACAGTGGTGACATAGTTCACATGGGAAGACTGCCATTGACTGGTTGCCCCCATTCAGTATTCTGGCTGTCCACTTTTCTTCCACCTTGTAATCCAGTTACGTGGTGTAGTTTTCTATGTTGTTTTTATTGTTTGATTATTACAGTCTATTACATTTGAAGGTCTTTATTTTTAAAAGCGTTCCCTGGAATTAGTACAGAAAAACCTGGATCGTTTATATGCAGGAAGTTCACAGCACATTTAATTCACATCAGGGTCCTGAATTAGGGGCAAGTTGCTTAGCTGTTTTCTGCAGTTTTTACTTCAAGTTTACACTTCTTTGATTAGCTGGAGCTCATTAGTGGTCATTCCATGCAGCTGATCAGAGAAACAATATCCTTTGAAATGAAATCTGCAGCAAAGAGTGAAAACACCTCAGCAGTCCTGCACATATGTTTGTTGCAGCTGCATATATCTCTAGATAGTTGGCAAAGTCATTTTTGCAAGGGATTAAGGTACTTACCTCAGTGAAGTATCCTTATCTTGTTATATGGTATCCTTAAATCACAAGAATTTCACATAACTGATCCTTGAACATGAAAAATGTTCTCAAGCCTGTGAGAATTGACTTGGGTCAAGGAAGCCTTTTGATTGAAGTTAAATATCTGTCTCTGTATAGTTAATGTTAAATTAGTTATTTGATTACTTGACTTTGTTAGTGAATAAGGCCCCCTCTAAATGTTATAGGTATTGCACAGTTAACTGGCTCCTGGAGATCAGCGATGTGCACAAAGTAGCTACACTCCATAAAAAGCTCCAACCAACTATAAAGTTAGACCTCAAAAATGCATGCTAATTTTACAGGTGGTGTTTACACATGAAGCAGGGTCTCCCCTGAGGCTGGGAGCCCTGCCAGCTGACAGGGATGCACCATGCTTGGTGTAAGACCCCTGAGCACTAGAGATTGCAGTAGCTGTGATCCCCAGAGTCCAGGGGTTTCCCACACCCCAGAGCCCTGTGGATTGTAGCAACTGTAGTCCACTGGGCTCTGGGGTGTGGGAAACCCCAGGACCCTGGGAATCACAGCTGCCTTGATTGATAAGGCTTGGGGGTGCAGGGAACTGCCAGAACTGGAGGATCACAACTTGCAGTGATCTCCTCACCCTGAAGGTATGTGAACCCCTGGGGTCAGAAGAATTGCTGCAGGGGCTTGGAGGGTCTGGGGAGCAGATTGCCTCAACTGGGGTATTTTGGGCTCCTAGCCAAGGAAGCTTGCTTCTTTCCCATGCAGGGGGAGCCTGGGATCAGGCTTCCCCTACACCAGCAATAAGGCACAATGAGATCTAATACACGATCCCACAAACATGCACTGGATCCCCTGCATGTGTAGTGGGGCTTAAAGTTAAGAAAAATGTCATTTAGAGTGTGGTCTGACAATCAGTAAAAATGTGGTAGAATTGGGGTGATTTACAGCTGATTCACTCTAACTGTTGTCTCTCTACTCCACTGCAAGTGGAAGCTAAACTCTTTTAATTTAAAACCTTTTTGAGTCAAGTTTTATAGTTACATTAGGTTGGTTTCCACTATATTGGTAAAAAAGCAGACAGATGAAATGCTTGCATCTGTAAAGCCAGCACATTCTCCCAAATAATGAGTCTCTTCTCTGTTAGAGTAGTTTAGTGTTAGCATTGGTTCATAGATGACCAATGTTGCCAATGGGAGGGCAGAACTCCATGCTGCCACTGCCCCTGCTGTTGCTGGGCACTGCTCTGGCCAGGTTACAGCCCTGCACCCCGCCATCAGCACAGAAATCTGGGGGCACATGTGCCCCATCCTCTCCATGCCTCTCCTACGCATTGCCTATCAATCTGTCCACAGTGCTAAACTACAACAATTTGGTGTTAGTATTTGTTAAGCCACGCAGTCACTTTTTGTTTTGCTTCCAATCAGGATTTGATCAAAGATCTTAAATCTGAACTCTCAGGCAACTTTGAGAAGACAATCTTGGCCATGATGAAGAGTCCTGTAATGTTTGATGCTTATGAAATAAAGGAAGCTATAAAGGTTTGTTTGGGAAATTTAACTTTTAATATGACAGGAGTTGTTTGAGCTGATGTCATTTCAGTTAATAAAAATGAGTCCTGCATGCTTAAATCCACTCCATAAATTTGTCTCTGGATTGTCTCATTGTGGTTTATATCTCATCTCTTAAGTTGAGAGGCACTGAACACTATTTTGCACATCCAGTTTCCTTTGAAAATTAGGTCCCTAGATATGTTCATTCCAAAAAATTACCTATTGCTTTCAAAACTTTTGGCTAACCTTTAACCACAGTTTCCTCCTTCAGCAAAATTGGAACATGTTTTCCCATCTCATTATATATTTCCCATTGGAATCATTAAACTATGCAAAACATTGTAATAGTAGCAGGTATTTTTATCTCAAATAAATCCAATGTTTTAGAAACATATTTTTCATCTCAAAACAATATTTTAAAAGTTAAAACTTCACATATATGAAATATTTCTGTTTCAGATTGGAAACTGAAATAATAAACACTTAAATTTCTATGTTTATTAGTACCTTTTATATAAAAATTTCTCAGTTGCAGAGGAAAAGCAGGTTGTTCAAGGAGATGAAACAATTGTTAATAAAATTAACAGCACTCAGAAATCTATAGTCCTTTAGAACTATATAATTTTTCTGAAATATTTTTAAAACTGTGCATTTCTAAAAATATTTTGCTATAAATCAAATATATAAACATCTTTAATAAAATGTGACATTTGGAATCACTTTTATGCACTTACCTGTTTTTGATTTTTGTTCACTTGTTTTTTTTGTTTTGG